GGTAAAGTTCAGCCTATGACCAAGGAGGCCTTCTGCCTCTCTTTCTTCATTCTTTCCCTTCGTCCTGCTGGCAACACCGATGTGATGTCTAAAAGAGGAAACCGTTTTGTAGCCATGATGATAAAGCCATACATGAAGGAGGACAGATCAAAGGACCTGGGCTCCCTGATGACATACAAGCCCTGGACAGTCTGCATTCAGACTTCTTTTTACATGAGAAAATAAACTGAGGATGAATTTATATGCCGCTAAGTGCAAACCCCAACCTATACAACCTGCAGACTCTTAAGGTCTTCATCTGGACCTCATTCCCCTTCCAACCAAATGGAGACTCAGGGTCATCTCTGGCCTGTAGGGGGATTTAGCTGGATAACATTTATAAAAATCCTGCTAGGAGGGGTATGACATGGCTATAGACAAAGTTTTTTTTTAATATATTACAATTTTTTAAATTTTAAGCAGAACCTTGTAACAAGATATTCTACCCTCACCCCACCATGTAGCCAGAGGCATCTATTGCCTCAGGAAAGATTAGGATTATTAAACCAGGAAAGAAAAGACAAAGGCAGGGTAAAAATAGAGCCTAATTGGTTACCATGAGGTCCAGTTTATATAGAAAAGGCAGAATAAATGCACAATTGTTTTCTTTTTTCTAGAACAGTTTTCAAAATAAATGAGTTAGTTTCCTCTCATCCCCCAATAGTGATCAATCTGTTGGGTTGTTTTAGAAATACTATGAACTTATATAATCATATTTGGTGTGTTTGAAACTATTGAAATTATTTTTTGATGCGCGAATTGGCCTATTTTTTGTCAGTGGGAGCCTATTATAATTGTTTCCTCAGTCTTTTTGACATAACCCTAGCAGTGGTTGATAGTTTCCTTGCTTTCTGTAAAAATTTACAGGTAAAAATGATACAATGATTTGCTTCAAAATGATGGCCAGGGACAAAGGGGTATGTGCAGATGAAATACAATTGGCCATAAGTTGATAACTGTTTCAAGCTGTGGCCCCGTGGACATTCATTGTGCTGTTTTCTTACATTAGTATATGTTTGAAATTTTCCAAAATAAAAAGTAGAGGTAAAGTTCAGCCTATGACTTCCAAAATAGGATCATGAAATCCCTAGCAAGACAATAGTCTTGAATGCCTGGTTTTGGTGGGAGAAAAAGAGATTTCTAAGTTCCCTAGACTCCCCTTGACTTATCAAGAGCAAGCACAGAGGGTCTGAGTACAGAGTTGCACTCTAGTGAGACCTCAGGATAGAACCGACATCACCCCAGCTGCAGAGGGCACAAAGAAACCCTCCCAGATTGGGGCGGAGAACAGGGGAGTGGAGGGAAAGAAGCGTGGAAACGCGTGGTAAGCCTTGAAAGCTTCACGGGTAAGTACCTTTAGGCAGCTTTGGTGGTTGTCACAGGGCTGGCTAAAAGGGGTTCCCTCAGTAACCAGTTTTTCTCACCTTCTCCCACTCTTTGGCCCAGATTCTTGCCTTCTAATCCCCAACAAGCCTGATTCAATTTCTCTTGGTCAAGGGAAGGAGCACTGGGCTGGGCGTCCAGAGGCCAGAATCCATCGCGCGTGAAATGAAAGGTCAGCCTACGAAACTAAGACAGTTCAGTGTCCCAGCCATCCAAACCCGAGACTACAGAAACCCTGGACCCCGACAGCCTGCCCTGCGGGCCTCCCTGCCTTCCCACTGAACGTCTCTTCTTTCCACCCATACACATTACATTGCCTCCTAAAGGAAGACGTGACTGCGATCACTTTTTACAAATAATTGGAAGGGAGGTGCCGGGCATAGCTGACCCCAAAGTTGACAGCACTTTGAGGCGTCGGCAATCAGGCGCGTCACCGACCTGTACGATTTCTCCTCTCTGCCCTTGCTCGCCTGCGAGTCCTGACCCCCGTCCCCACTGCGGAGAAATCTCCTAAGAGACGGCTACGGCGTCGCCTCCGCGCCCAGGAGGCGTGGAGCCGAGGACTCGGAGCACAGCGCGCTGCGGCCGGCCCCGGCGCACAG